CAGAAATAAATACTAGAAAGAAAATGGTTTATTTTTCTGTAGCAAATTGGTTTATTTTGTTTCTAGATGTTGGAAACTGTAGCGTCCCTTTGCAAGTCTTTAAACATAACCAGAGCTGGACGGCTCTGTGAGAACGTGCGTGAGTTAAAAAGCAGACTCGTAAGTTCTTGGTAATATTGCGACATCATAGAATCAAACCGCAGATCCAGGGCTTTTGTGGTGTAACAATTGATTCGGTCTTGTAAACTCAATTAGAAATTCTCTTGAAATGAGAGAGTGATTCAAAGCCTTCATGTTCTTGCTTGCATGTTGTTGTTTTGTAAGAAAGTGAGTTTCAAAAAATGAGTAACAATCCTTAATGCTATTAATCAGACGGGCTGTTTTTTCGTCCCCTCTGGAGAGGACGGAAGTGGGTGGTGAATTTGCGCCATTGTTCTGACACTGCATTTAGGGTTCACAAGGCTGAGGGAGTCAGAAGAGCCAAAGCTCATAAAAAGGCTTCACTTTCATAGTGGTCACTCTCTTTTCCAGCTCAACATGACTGTTATCACACTACATGAGCTCATAGGGGTGATAGGGCCAGTGTGACAAACAGAGGAGACCCCAAGAGGGCCGCAGATCATTGCTGAGGTGATAAGAACAAGCTTGGGTGTTGCTTAAAGTGTAAATCCTCAGAGTCCTTCTAATGCTCTGTTTAAGGCGGAGCTGTTTTGTCACATCAAGGATGTGTCATGAGCAGAACAGGGAGGAAAACAGTGCTCTCAGAGCTGAAGTCAATGTCACGTCAATGCCAAAGACTCGACAATTAAGTGAGAGTTGTGCTTGACTAACAAACTTTCACTTTGTGACCCAGGTGTGTTTTCCAACTCTCTGATCTCTGTGGAGTCCTTCTTGTTTGGGTCTGGCCAAGAGGTCAATAATAATGCACTTTACACTGATCAGACTAGCAAATGGGGATGTTTGTTTAGCACTTTGGGCAATTGGGCCACATCTCCCGCTATTTGAAAACATTTATACAGCCCTGAATAGTGCTCTCCCTGACACTGAAACTAGCTGAGCTGAGCTGAGCTAAAATGAAAACACATACACACACACACACACACACACACACGAAACATAACTAAGCAAAACTAAACAACACAAAGCAAAACCAATAACAATAAAAAAAACACTAAATCACTAAACATAAAATAAACGTATAAGCATTTAAACTGTAACGATGCATAATACTCAATTTTCCTACCATCTGAGCAGTCCAAGCTTTAAGTACTACTATTTGTTAGTCGCCAAACAGACACTTTAAAGTACACTTTAAAATGGATTTTGAGCCAGAATCTTAAAAACAAGGCGCAAAAACACTGGAAAACAGCTAGATGTTTGCCTGTCCAATTGTCCAATAATGTAATGCCTTAGATATATATATATATATATATATGCATTATTTTATATTTATGAAATAGTATATGTGATTACTACATAATATGATGTATTTGATTAAAATTTCATTGAATAAATACAAGCAATTGTTGTAATAGAAATTGTTGAAAATGTGAAACTTTTTTTTTTTTTCTTACATATGTATTCCTGCTCATATCCAATCCATCTTTCTCAGCCTATTTGTGCCGGAACACAGGGGACTGGCTTTGTAATTGGATGATATGCTTCATCACAACCGTTTACAGGAGTCATCACACTATAGCTTCAATGGTGTTTGCTATAATCTTTGTGAAAATGTGCAGTGCTCTATGAGAAATCATCTAATTGCACTGGCAAAGGCCAGAGCCGTGAGTATTTAGCCTATAGGCAGGATACTCATGCAGTAAAGCTGCTTTGAAGCCTAGAGAAGTGCTTCAGTATGGAAGTGAGACTAAAAACAGAAGCACTTGCATTTCCTGTCGGCCCAAGCAGCTGTGGTTAACTTTTTGACCCCCTAAGCTCCATTAACTCCATAATGAACACAATGCAACCTTCAGTCACCCCTGTGAAACTTCCAATATCTACAGCTCCCTGGTCCAGTCCAGTCAATGTGGTTTTGGTGAGTAATTTGATATTTTGCCCATCAAAGCATAATATGTCATGTCACAGTCAATAAATAGCCTGTATTATTTAGCCTAATGACCATCTCCATGTAATGACAATGTATGGCAACAGCAGAAAAAGAAAGTATGGGACGTAAAAAGAGTGAAAAATTTAAGGGGGTCTGAATACTTTCCGTACCCACTGTAGATCATTTGTATTTCCTATGACAGGAAAATTCTTGGTTCAGTGCGTAAACAGTAAAACAAAATATCAAGTAATATTTTGTCATGATTCAATGAGGAAAACATTGATTAAAGGAATATTTAATTCAAAATAATGTTGATTACCACAAATATTAATTTGGACTTTTCTTAAAACAAAATAAATAAAAAAAAACTGACTTACAATGAGACATTTACAATGGAGCCAATCTGTAAACATTAAAATGCTCACTGTTTCATTAAACAAGAAATTGGCATGTTAACACAATTTTAAAATATAAAAAAAATAAATCGAGAACTAACTTTTTAGTAAAGACTCAATATTTATTTTTGTGGTAATTAACATTATACCACAAATGATATTGACTGAACTCAACTTGTATTGAATCCGGAATATCACATTCTGTCACATGTGACCTAACATCACATTCTGACTGCATTTTTATAATGAAATCAGTTTGTTCTAATTCTGTTCGGTGCCATGCCAACATCACTCACCATGGAGACCACAAAGCAGACAGGGTGGAGTATAGTGGACCTGATTTTAACTCTCATTCTCACACGCACACACACAACACACATGTGCACCCCCACACGCACAGTGACACACTGAGGAAACACATGTTGTAGTGACACACTCTGAGCTCAATGCCTTCGTTCTCAGCGCAGCTCTCCCACGTCTGATCGTCTGATGATAATCACCTCTCAGTGAAAGGGCCAGCTATTGACAACAGATTATAGCTGAGCCACTGGATGCACTTTGGAAAATGTGAGTAAGGTGCTTTGCTTTAAAGTTCAAAAGGCACTTCCCCTCATTATTCACTGTCAATACAGAGCGCTTGCACAAGGGAGTAAGCAGAAAACACAATCTTCATTTACAAACTGGAAGATCATTGGCCATGATCAAGTTACTCTAATCCACATAATCTCTGATCATCAGTCTCACCCAGGCTTGTCTATCAATCAGAACTGCACTATGAAACACTTTTTATATTTATGAATTCCTGAATATGAATTGAGGAAACATTCAGGATTTGCGTGAGATTGGAATTTATTTGAACCTTATTTAGTTACATTTAAATGTAAAGAAGCAGAAAGAAAATAATGGGGGTTATGATATAACTCAGTTTGACAAAGCATTGTTTGAAAGTTTAGAAAAAAATTGAAGGTTTATAGATAGATAGATAGATAGATATTGGAAAGATGCCAACTATAGTAGATGTGGCACCTAACACACTTCAACATTTGAAACGACCAGTGGGGCCATCTAAACCCATCTCCTCATTTTCAAGATCTAAACACACAGAGAACAATAACAATATCAGTGTCTTTGATCCAAACAAAATGCAAAATAAGTTGCACATGGTCTCTCAATGAGGCCATTGTTCCAAGTGAAATCAAGAAAAACCATGAACGTCTGCTCAACCAAAACTGAAAAGTTAGTTATCTCAGATTTCTAGCACCATATAAGAGGCACAAGTCCCCAGGTAATGTTTGGGGTTCCTGATAGGATAAAATCCATACGTATGGAACACAATGCCGTGCTGTACTAGACACTAGAAGTCTACACTTTTTTTTAATGAGTCAGCAAAACATGTGGTTGCTCTTTATCAAAGTCAGTTAAGGGTCAAAGAAACCCCAACTGTGAAGTCGGGACTCATTAGCCTCCATCTTTCAGCACCTCTGCAGTCTGCTAGAGGAGTCCAGCGTCCTCGTGTTTGCCATGCTTTAGTGGGAGGTTATCCTACAGAGACACATAGCAGAGGCTGCTATCCTCTTCCCTGGTCCGGTTGCTTATTTGGACCATTGGACAATCCTTGTTCAAATAAACAGTGGCCCAAATTAACACATAAGAAACTGCCTTTTCACATGAATGGACCAAAAGCCAGCCCGCGTGCTGTCCCTGCTGGGCAGAAAATCTCTTTTGAACCTAGTAGGGAATTGGTTGAAAGAAGCAAAGTGGCCATAAACAAATGATGAACAAAAATTGCTGATGCTCTTGTGCTGAGTGAAAGATTACTCAATCAATATTGATATATTTGTGAGTTTTCATTGAAAAGAAAAAAAGAAACATGCAACATTTTTTTTTAAAGAATAGCTCTATGTATATCAAAAACATTGTTACATTGCTTTTGGCCCACACTGGAATCTGCATCACTGATCACAGATCAGAATTGCAAATCTTCATTCACTGCTGTGAACGTGAACAGATTTAGAATTGTGTGGCGCACTCTTGTGGTAAATATGTGTGTTGCGCCTTCTGCCCTCAAAATCACAAGCGCAACTGAGAGTCAATAACCATCAAAAGGTTCTCAGGCGTGTTTGATTAACGGTGTTCTTCCTAAAATTGGCAAAATAGCGACTGATTTTTAATGCATTTAAACACCCAGAATTTTCCGAAACACATTTTTTTGTTCGTATGCTCTTGGTAAATGCATTAATTTAGTGTTTTCTTAGTTATTCCTAGTGATTATTATTTTTAATAAATCATTTTATTAATTTATTGTTGTTGTTATTATTATTATTATTATTATTATTTTAAATATCTCTACAACTTGCCATTTTTAGCTGAAGACTCTTTGGCTAATTGCTTGATTAACTCATACCCACCCCCATTTCGGAAGTTTGAATGGGCAGCACTTTTTTTTTTTTTTTTAGAGGTTCACTCCTCCTCGCCCCCGAGCCAACCCCCTTATTAAAACAAGTCCAAACCCCTGCCCGGTTAAAAGAGTCTTACAAATGTATGGCTTACAGGAAGCATATAGTTAAAGCGTCTGGAAGAAATTAGACGCAGAAAAGGACAGTTCACTACTTCAACCTGTACGCTTGGAAAAACTTGAATGAATTACGTTTTTTTAGTCTCCAACATTGACTTTTTTCTTCTTTTATCAGCTGACAACGTCAGAATGAACTGCCAAGATGCTCCAGCAGACCTCATCACAGCAGACTGATGCAAACTATACTATATAATGTATTGGAGGAGGCGAGAAACTTGAATGTTCATTCGTTGTATGAAAAACGTGGATACTGCACATCTTTTAAAAGCAACGAGTTTTTTAGATGCTCCATGCCGGTGTCTTCTGTATTTTACCCAAAAACTTATATGGGAAAGTTTGTCCAGTGTCTGGAGCGTGCGAGCCTTTTCGGACAGCGTCCCTGTTAAACTAACGGGACATCTCCACGCAGCTGCTCCAAGGTATGATTATGATTATTTAATGGATACATTTTTCGAATGATACACACTGTTCTATTAGATTAATAGTTTCTTTGCATGTATTTCATGTTGCAATGGAGTTATTTTAAACAATCATAAGGGGGGATACATTTGAATGAATGGAGTACATACATAAATGATTGCAATACCTACGTGCCATCTTTTTCAAAGTCCAACAGGTAGTAGACTTTTAAATTTTACCATATTTCTGACTCAGCAGTACAGCTGATAAAGAACAGCATATATTTTATCTGGCATATTATTCATGTAAGTCTTATTTGCTTCTCTTGTATCATTGTTGGTAAACCTGTGCATATCAGCTGTTCTGTCAGGTTTCATTTTTACATTTTTACAGATTTCCTCAATTACAGTCAGGCTACTAATCAACGTCAGCTTGATATAAATTTAGTGGGTGTTTGAGATTCTACCAGGGTTACAGGCTAATTAAACACCATTTGGACCCTCTGACCAATAGCAGAGCAGAACAGATATTGCGCGCAATCCAGCAGCAGACATAAAACTGAGGGTGACGCAATGTAATATAATGATGCATAATGACGCTTTTCAGTAGGCTCCCTCGGGTGTTTTCATGGTAATACGTGACACAAATGAATAATTTAAACTAAACAGAAACATTTTCTACACTTGTCATTTGTATGCAAGTATAATTTCGGGACGCATTTTTAATTGTATTTTGGCGTCCTTATTTCTGATTTTTTTTAAGTCATAGGCCTATAGCCTAGCATAAAGTGTTATATGTATAAATAATATATTATTTTTCGACGTACCATCCAAAACTAATCCTGAGCGTTCACGCGTCTTCTATTGCCATAGTAACCTCTTCAACTAAAGCAACTTTTGTTCACCAGCGTCTTTTGTATTGGGATCTGTAATCTAATTATGCGGGTGTTTAAAAAGGCTACTGAAACATACATATAAGTGTATGTTACAAGACTACATGCTGTTGTTGTGACTTTCTTTGGGGGATCAAGCCTTAA